CTAATGTGCGTCCCTGCCTGTAGCTTGATGTCCACATTCTTGCAAAGAGTGAATTTACAACAGATGTATAATTTAGAACCCTTCTCAACTAGTAGTCACTGTCATTTTTGTCTGTGCTGTTTAGATACTGTTGGGCGCCAAAATGTATGGATATAATTATGTAAAGATTCGAAAAACTCTTCAATATTTGGTAACCACCTTGCCGCCATTTTAAGGTGCAATTGCATAAATTGTCTTTGCATAATTATACAGTCGTTGAATAAATAACTACATAATCATACATTCATTGAAACATTATGACCTAATTAGCATGTTCGAATTGGTATTGTGTTTCGCAAATTGTTTTGCACGCACGCGAATATCAATTCCATTTTGACAATTTCCTTGTAGGGAAATTTCATTTTCCAAAGTAGCACTGTGGCAGTGAATAAAAATGGCTTGATATTATTTTGTAAAATGGACTTGGTATTTGTGAAATGGACTTGATATTTGTACAATGGACTTGGTATTTGTACAATGGACTTGGTATTTTTAAAATGGACTTGATATTTGTAAAATGGACTTGGTATTTGAGAAAATGGATTTGGTATTTGTAAAATGGACTTGCTATTTGTAAAATGGACTTGGTATTTGAGAAAATGGACCCAATATTTGTAAAATGGACTTGGTATTTGAGAAAATGGACTTGGTATTTGTAAAATGGACTTGGTATTTGAGAAAATGGACTTGGTATTTCATTGTTCGTAATTTTGTCCGCTTTGGGCAAGCATATGCAAGTTGCAAGAAAAATTGCACCATGTAACATGGCCTTAACTTCAAAAAGATTTGTCGACAGGGGGTATATTCGAACAGCTTATTAGTTTTCGCCACCTTACATGTTTATTGCCTTTTCAACCGATCGTGAAAACACATTACCTTACACATTTCCTCGTTTTAAATATATTTGGCCATTTTTTTAAATTTTTCGGGGGGGGGGGGTGCTACCCCCTACTAATCCATATCTAAATGATTTGCAAAATAACTGACAAATTCTGATTTGTTGCATTTAACCCATATGCATCCAGCTTTATTAATTTACTCTGTCCAAACCAGATTATTTTATTCAATAGAGGGAAGAGCCTTGCTCATTATTAAATGGGTTATAAACAAACATAATTATTAACCCATTTGACCCAAAAAAGTTTCTCCTTGACAATAATTAAAATTGACAAAGTTAAATCGTACCTCAAAATTGGGTTGTTCCACACAAGATCCATATTCCCCTCATGGAGGAAATTTCTGCCGTCCGAAGGGGGAGGGGAGAAAAAATTGTTTCTGATAATAGTAAATGTATTAGGACATCCGAAGGGGGTTGGGGGTTAACATCCTATTTCCTCCGTGGGGGTGGTATGGATGTTTTCTGGAATGACCCATTGTAAAGTTGTGCATGTTGCAGCTCTCAAGGGGAGGGTGGATCTTTTCTGGAATGTCCCATTCCATCTTACATGCTTGCATCATTTCCTTCAGATTGGACTAAGATTCATACAATTGTCCAGAAATGGCAAAATTACACAACAAAGAAACGCCCCGACAGTATCCTCATTGGCTCGTCCCACCCGGCAAACCTGGAACTCTACGGAACGAAAGATCTTCCTGAGCTTGACATCGTCGTCAACTTTGAGCTTGTCCCTGAAAGCCCCTCCGGTTTCTATACCGCTGCAAACTTCAAGAAAATCATAAC